GAAAAGGGAAAGGGGCTGTATGTAATAATACAAAACACAGGGTGGCAGCTAGGCGCGAGTCAAAGTTCCTTTCAATAGCAATGCATTTACTTTTCAATCTACCAAACCAAACAGCAGCTGAGCTGGGTAGCAACGGAAATGAAGGCATAGCTGTAATAAACCATGTTTCCTCTCCAAGAGGATTCAGATAAAGAGTCATGTTTAGCGTCAACGGAAAAAAGCACAAGCGAATTTCCACTTTTTACTACAGTTCTTGGATTGCACGATGCACACAACCTTTGTGCTGCATAGGTAGAGGTTGCCTCAATATGAATGCATTGTAGCAAGCCTCAGCTTGACTGTGATGTTGAAAAGACTATCTTTCCCCATTTCTGACGTTAAAGATAAAATCATGTCCATTATGTCAAAAGAAAAAATGCTAAGAAGTCTTAAATATACCCACAAATATCTAACCATATTTTGGAACTCAGTTCTATCAGCCTTTTCTATTGTCGGCTGTTTGACAGCTGGTAGGTTTTTATCTTCTTCACTAAAAGTAGCCAGAGGCAAAATAGGACACTGATGTTTGACTTTTTGTGCCGTACTTTGATTCTGGCTTAATGGTTTCATTAACAAGCAACAGAACCACTGCCACATTGGAAACATGCTGATATATTGTTAAAGGTAACTTCTGAATGACTGAAAGGTCCTTGGGCCTTCAGGGACTATCAGTGTATATTCTACAAAAGGCAGAGAAGTATTGACAATTTAGTTTATATTGAGACTGCAGGCCGTGCAGTACTAATTTAAAGATGAACTCCATGCAGATGCAAAATACATACAATAATGCAGTTGTTTATTCATTGATAAATCATTTCAATGTATTTTTTCAATGCAACTAGTTTAAGAAACTAAACATGGTTTGATGTCAGCCTTTTTTTTAATACCCTATACCAGTGGTCTCCAAACTGCGGCCAAGGGGCTGGATGCAGTCCTTCCCTTGCTTTTATGCAGCCCTTGTGGCATTATTCCATCCACTGACACCAACAGTTGGAATTGGACTTGTCTCTGCCCATGACACCAACAACAGAGCACAATTCCTCCCACAAACATCAACAATGTGGTACAATGCCTTTCAATGACACCAACGATGCGGCACAATTCCTCCCAACGATGGGGCACAATTCCTCTCAATGACACCAAGAATGGGGCACAATTCCTCTCAATGACACCAACGATGGGGCACAATTCCTCCTAATGATCGTCCACAGTTCCTCGCAATGACACCAGTGATGGGGCACAAATCCTCTCAATGACATCAACGATGGGGCACAATACCTCTCAGTGACACCAACAATGGGGCACAATTTCTCTCAATGACACCCAACGATGTGGCACACTTCCTCCCAATGACACCAATGATGGTGCACAATTCCTCTGAACAATCGGGCACAATTCCTCTCAATGACACCAACGATGGGCACAATTCCTCTCAATGAGTCCAACAATGGGGCACAATTCATCCCAATGATATCAACAATGGGGAACAATTCTTCCCAACGGCACCAGCAATGGGGCACTTTTCCTCTCAATGACACCAACGATGGGGCACAATTTCTCCTAATGACTCCAACAATGGGGCACAATTCACCTCAATTACACCAACGATGGGGCACAATTCCTTTCAATGACACCAACGATGGGGCACAATTCCTTTCAATGACACCAACGAAGGGGCAAAATTCCTCTCAATGACACCTATGATGGGGCATAATTCCTCCCATTGACACCAATGATGGGACACAAATTCCTCTCAATGACACCAAGGATGGGGCACAATTCCTCTCAATGACTCCAATGGTGGGGCACAATTCCTCCCACTGACACCAACAACTGGGTATATGTTCTTTCACTGACAGCAATGAAGGGGCAAAATTCCTCCTAATGACACCAACGATGTGGCAGTATTCCAGCACTGACACCAATGATAGAGCATTGTTTAGTCCCACTTACACCAAGACAATTTCTACTCCCACTGGCCTCAGTCCAGCGCTCCTGCAGTCTGAAGTACAGTATACTGGTCCCTTGTTTGGAAAGTTTGGAGACCCCTGCCCTATATGGCAGCATCCAGGCTGAGTGGGCGGTGGGGTAAGGAATGGGAGTCAAGTGTGTTGCATGCAAATATGCTAACAAGGAACAAGCTGACAGGTGGAGAGAGCAGAGTGAGCAGATAGATGACATCATCAGTTTGCTGCTGCTCCTGCACTATACAGTTATAGTCTGGGGATAGAAAGATGGCACCACTGTAGCCTATTAGTTTAGGGAAGTTGTTCAAAACTGCCACCTTTGTTTACTTTTATCTGGCCCTTGGGGCACTATTCCTCCAACTGATATGAGACCATATTCCTCCCACTCACACTAAATATGAGGCACCATTCCTTCCACTAACACCAACATTGGGGTATAATTCTTCCCACTGATATAAACTATAGAAGACTATTACTTCCAATAGCACTAAAGATGGGGCACTTTTCCTCCCACTGATACTATTGATAAGGCACTATTCCTGACACTAATGGTGGAGCACCAATCCTCCCACTGATACCAATATTTTTCTTTAACTAACACCAATGTTGGGAAATCATTCCTTCCACTGACACCAACGTTGGGGCACTATTCCTCCCACTGATACCAACAATAGGGCACTCTTCCTTCCACTGACACCAATGTTGGGGCAATATTCCTCCCACTGATACCAACAATAGGGCACTATTCCTTCCACTGACACCAGTGTTGGGAAACTATTCCTCTCAATGACACCAACAATGGGACACAATTCCTCCCAATGACACTAACGATGGGGCACAATTCCTCCCAATGATCGGGCACAGTTCCTCGCAATGACACCAATGATGGGGCACAAATCCTTCCAATGACACCAAAGATGGGGCACAATTCCTCTCAATGACACCAACAATGGTGCACAATTCGTCCCACTGATACCAACAATAGGGCACTATTCCTTTCACTGACACCAATGTTGGGGCACTATTCCTCCCACTGATACCAACAATGGGGCACTATTCCTTCCACTGACACCAATGTTGGGGCACTATTCCTCCCACTGATACCAATGATGGGGCACTATTCCTTCCACTGACACCAATGTTGGGGCACTATTCCTCCCACTGATACCAATGTTGGGGCACTATTCCTCCCACTGATACCAATGTTGGGGCACTATTCCTCCCACTGATACCAACAATAGGGCACTATTCCTTCCACTGACTCCAACAATAAAGTACTATCTCTGCTGCATTTTCCACTCCTACTGGTCACAGTCTGCCCCCCCCCCCCCACACCCAAAGTCTCAAGACCAGTATATTGGCCCTTTGTTTAGAAAGTTTGGAGACCCCTGGTTTAGGGCCTCATTCAGATTAGCACTAACACCCGTACTACATGCAGGCTGTGTTTGTTCTGGCATCTGCATTTGCCCCAAGCTGCAAGCAGACAACCTATAAGTGGATGCAGACACAGCCACATCTCAAAATGTGATAGTTGTACAGGAGCGGCCGCACTGCCCTTAATGCACACCCTTTGCATTTGGAGCTATGCAGCCACTCCTGTCAAATTTTGACATGCGGACGCTGCATCTGCATTCACTTCTTTAGGCTGTCTGTCTGCATGCAGCTTGGGATAGATGCAGATGCCAAAACAAACACAGGCTGCACACAGTACAGGTGCCGGCACCCGTCTGAATGAGGCCTAATAGAGAACATATTGCCATTCTCCTAGCTGTAGTGATTCCTCCTGCGCTAAATGACTGAACTCTACAAACAAAGCTAACACCCAAACCCTTTACCTTAAAAGAATAATGTCATATATTGTGTACCATATGGTGCAGCACGACAAAGCTAAATAAATAATTATTATATATAATTATATTAAATAAATAAATATATATTAACAATAATGGTGAAACTAAAGGAGATCCTACTGGGATCTATATAAAGTGCAAAATGTACTTTGATTCACTTTGTGCACACGTTTGCTGTGAGTAATTTATCCCATTTTTGGGATTGGGTATTTATTGTTTGTCACTTGGCAATAGGACCTGAATTTGTGACCCATTGGGTTTTTTTGCACCATTTTGCACACATTTTGGACTTTATATAGATCCCAGTAGGATCTCCTTTAGTGTCACCATTATAGTTAATATTATTATTATTATTATACAGTATTTATATAGTGTCGATTGAACAAAAAAAAAGGAAACACTTTGGCAATGTAAAACAGCTCCCTTTTGTGTATTATATATATATATATATATATATATATATATATATATATATATATATATATTTGCCTGGAGTTTAGCTTTTTTTAAAAAAAAACATAAAATAGCAGTGTCACTTATGTGAAAAATTATACATTTGGGAGCATAGCTATTATATTGCAATATCAGTGTTCACTTTGAACAAACTGAATAGCAGTTTTTTTTTAAATGAGAAAAGAAAATCTGCATTAAATAAGTGTACATTTGTGGTTTGTGGCAGGCAGTTGTCAGGTCCTGGCGGTGGAGCAGGAAATCCAGCTCTACAGGTCTCGCCTTGGAGGGCAGTGTGAGCACAGAGCTGTAGGCTCAGGTGTCACACTATTTTTCAGGAAGTAAGGGGCTGGCAGAAAGTGATCCAGGTGAGAAGCAGGAAGGTAAGAAGCACCGACTCACAGTAAACGATATTCATACAGAGAAAGTAATCAGAATTGGCAGAACAGAACGTAAGAGATAAAAACTTTTTTTTTTTAAAGTATGACTGTTTTGCTATATGTATTGTTTCTTGTGTGCTATGAATTAGGCATGCACTCATATTTTGTGTTTTTCTCTCCGAAGAATGGGACCTCCTTTGAGGCTGCATGAACTGATTCGAGCCATCCGCAGTGTTAAGACACAAAACGAAGAGAGAGAAGTCATCCAGAAAGAGTGTGCAGAGATCCGCTCTTCTTTTCGAGATGAGGACTCCATGTATCGTGGACGAAGTGTGGCTAAACTGCTGTACATGCACATGCTGGGGTATCCAGCACACTTTGGACAGGTATATCTAAAGGAAAACAATCTGTATAATCTGTCTCAAAAATAAATGTAATCCCATTCCATTTTCAGAGCCAAAGTGGTCCTCTAGACAGAGTAGAGAAAAACAAACAAAGGGCGCACCAGCCTAGTGCATTACCTTACCCCAACTGGAGGTATTCCCATGTGTAGCTCGGGGTTAACTTTCAGTACCAAAAGCGGTAACCCCGAGCTACACTCGGGATTACCCTGCAGCATTGCTCAGGGATTCCCTCCCGCTCCTGCGATGTCCCCCCGGCCATCTCCTCCGGCTGATGCCAGCATCCGTCTTCCGGGTTCCGTTCACTGCGAGCGTCGGGACGTACAGGGGACGGAACCGGCGGGAAATTCAAAAATGTTAAAATGTGACATTCACTCAATACACTAAAATATGATAGTGTTACATTACTGTATCAAACCATTTCACATACATTTTGTCCCGAGTGCTTTGTCCTGTGCCCTGCCTGCATTTTTACTGTTCTTTCTGCCTGGAAACTGAGAAACGTCCATGGTGTCCAAAAAGCGTCCCTTTTAGGTCAAAAGTGGTTTTAGACCAGCTAGAGAACAGCGACAGTAAATTAGAACTACTTGCAGAATTGAGTGATAATGATTCGTGGGAAATTCGTCATCAGACACTGAAAATTATTTTGCGACTAAGCTCAGTGATGTGCGAACTAGGCGCTCTATTTCTAATTTCAGTGTTTTTGGTTTGATATTATTGAATTAAATGTATTATAATATTATTATTTTTTATTATTATTTATTATATTATAATTTATGATTTCATGTTTCAAATTTTAACATACCCGGATGTTTACTAGACTCTTGTTCGGACAGATTTCAGTAAGTTATTCTTAAAAATTACAGTCCTACAATAAAAAAAACAACATATTTCCATGCCAAAAAAATTTACCGCTTTGAGCACAAAAATATTGACATAATCAGACCGCTAGGGAAGTTAAAAAAATGTATTTATTAAATGATAAAAGTAGGTACTGTACTCACAAAATGACAATACAGTCAAAGGCACATCATGAAAGAACAGCTCGGTCCAATCCGCACTAAGTGTCTGTCCATAATAGGAACTCTGGCCCACCAACAGGCTGACGCGTTCCGAGGACTTGCCTCTTCCTCAGAGCCAACTGATTAAATGTCTGGTCCTCTAGACAGATCATACATACTGTATAAAGAGACCAATGCATGACAGGGATACATTTCACACAGGTATCTAGGAATATAACACACAAAGGGGGACATTTGACCTAAATGAAATAGCTAGAATCTGGAGCAGCTTTGCATGGCACCCATTCAGCTTCTAACGTCTAGCTTTTTCAGTTAGACTTTCAAAATCAAAGATATAATTTGATTAGTTGCCCTGTACAGCTGAACTAGGTTTTGGCTGCTCCAGTTTTGATATATTGACCTCAAAATATCTCATCAACAGGACATTAGGCAGATATATCCCAGTCATGTGTCTGCATAGGGTTTACATTTGCTCCCTGTGCTTGCTCTGGTTTTCTCCAAGAACTCTAGTTTTCTCCAAGAACTCTAGTTTCCTCCAACACTCCAAACTCATGCTGGCAGGTTAATTTGCTCCTGACCAAATGTGCCCTTGTACTGTATGTGTGTGTATGTGTGAATGTGTGAAAAAGACCTTAGACTGTAAGCTGCTTGAGGACAGAGACTGATGTGGATGTACAATATGTAAAGCGCTGTGTAAATTGTTGGCACTATATAAAATACCTATAATAAATAAGAAGATCTAGTCACTGTACTGAGCTTGCTCTGGACTGTACTGGTTATATGTTATTTTATAATCAGTTATAAATAAATATCCAAAGAACAAAACAGTGCTGTGAAAACGGATGAAATGTGAACCTCACACGGAGGTGTAGCTTTACTGGAATGCAATAAAACCAGAGTTTTAGTGGCCAGGGCAAGGTGGAAGAAACGTCAGCTCCTCTGGTGTTGCAAGGGAGAGAGTGCTCCGTGTACTGTTGGAGTAGCAGAGTCCCGGAACTGATGTCACCGCGATCTCGGAGGAAGCGGAAGGAGGATCCTGCCTTGGAACACAAGCCAGGCTGGTAACCTAGACCTTAGTTTAGGTTACCGGCCCGGCTTGCATTCCAAGACAGGATCCTCTTTCCGCTTCCTCCAAAATCGCAGTGACCAGGGGAGGACTGACCATTTGGAAACTCGGGCACTGCCCGAGGGCCCGGGGTCAGTAGTGGGCCCCATGAGATGCCCCTGGTACCTTTTTCATAGGCTTTTTTGAGTTTGGGCAAGGACACAGGGGCCCCATAATCCCCTATTGCCCGGGGGGCTCCATGAGTTGTCAGTCCGCCCCTGGCGATGACATCAGTTCCGGGATGCCGCGGACTCCGGCTACTCCAGCAGTACGCGGAGCACTCTGTCCCTTGCAACACCCAAGGAGCTGACGGTTCTTCCACCTTGCGTTGGCCACTAAAACTCTGGTTTTATTGCATTCCAATAAAGGTACACCTCTGTGTGAGGTTCACATTTCATCCGTTTTTACAGCGCTGTTTTGTTGTTTGGATATATGGATTCACTACACTAGTGGTTACACAGCAGCAGTGATGGGGATTCTGACTCTCTCAGTTTTGCACCAGATGGTTCTTTCTGCGCTTGAACATTTGACTTAGTTATAGAGAAATCACTCACAAGGGAAGAGAGGAGAATTGTTCATTCTGTCCTGGCATCATACTTACCATGTGATGCTATCAGGGGCGGACTGACCATTTGGAAACTCGGGCATTGCCCGAGGGCCCAGGGTCAGTAGGGGGCCCCATGAGATGCCCCTGGTACCTTTTTCATAGGCTTTTTCGAGTTTGGGCAAGGACACAGGGGCCCCATGATCCCCTATTGCCCGGGGGCCCCATGAGTTGTCAGTCCGCCCGTGGATGCTACATACTTTGTAGAAGCTATACATATTTTTTTTTTTTCATTTTAACCATTAGCCGCCTATAGCCGTTTGGCGGTGGCAAAAATGCTTCACCTTTCCGGGTGCACGCCATTTGGCGTGCTCCCGCACATGCGCAGTTCACGCGGTTGCAGAGCCGCGCAGCGGCGCGATCTGTCACCGGCCGTGTACCTCGGACAAGGCCGATGACAGATCTGAGTACCGGCCCCGTTGCCGGTACCATGTGACCACATGACAGTTGTATACAATGGATGGCTTCATTCATGCCATCCATTGTATACTAGTGCCTAGTTGTGAATTGTCACAGCAGGTCACATGCACATGTCATGTGATTAGCTGTGGCCAAATCACAGCTAAGCACAAAAAAAAAAAAACCTGAATGAATCGATTTCAATTCTGGTAAATGCTTGCTTATAGCAAAGTAATTCTTTGCTATAAGCAAATTGTGTAAAAAAAAAAAAAAAAAATCCCCAAAGTAGTACAATGTTACTATGGTAACATTGTACTACTTTGGTCATAGTAAAATATGAAAAAAAAATCTTAAAAATGTAATAAAAAATTTAAAAAAAAAAAAATTATATTTTTTTTTCATACTGTCACCAGTCAGTGTCCCTGTTCACCGCCATGCCAGTTATATGATGGTGCTGTACTGCACTGGTGACAGTATGTAAAAAAAAAAAAAATAGTGAAAATAATTTTTTGAATTTTTTAATTTTCCAAAAAATTATGACAAAATACAACTTCAAAAAACTTGCTATGCCTCTTATAAAATACGTTGGACTGTCTACTTTGCAAAAAGGGGTCATTTGGGGATATCTGTACTATTCTGACATTCTTGGACCTCAAGAAATTAGATTGGCTGTCAGTACTTCAGGATTGATCAATTTTCAGATCTATACCATAGTTTGTGAACTCTATAACTTTCCTACAAACTAAAAAATACATCCTAATTTGGGTTATTTTCACCAAAGACATGTAGCAGAATACATCTCGGCCTAAATTTATGAAGAACAATTATTTATTTACAAACTTTTATAACAGAAACAAAGAAAAACGTGTTTTTTTTTTCAAAATTTTCGGTCTTATGTTAATTTTTGCAAAAAATAAAAACCCCAACAGTGATTAAATACCACCAAAAGAAAGCTCTAGTTGTGTGACGAAAATGATAAAATTTTTAGTTTGGGTACAATGTTGTATGACCGCGCAATTGTCATTCAAAGTGTGAGAGCGCTGAAACCTGAAAACTGGCCTGGGCAGGAAGGTGTAAAATTGCCCAGTATTGAAATGGTTAAGAGACTTAAAATTAACATAATTAGAAGTCTATTGGGTCTATTTATTATCATATTGGGCTCCATTCTCGGAAGCAGATCGCATGCAGTATTTAAGTCTTCAGACACATTTTGCCTAAATCGCATGCGATTCTAAAACTGTCAATTCACTATACCGTTTTAGCGGTATTTACGGCAAAAGGCTCAGCAAATACCGCATGAAAAAGTGTTAAACTCAATTCACAGAAGGAAATAAATAATTAAATGCATGTGGTATTTAAGAAATGTAAAAATATGATAGGCAATTTTTAGTAGTCTCTGCCTTTTTGGATCAGTTATCTCAACAGTAATGCCTAGAAACCTAAATATGGAAGTCATTGGGGTTGATTTACTAAAGGAAAAACATTTTTGTAGTTTTGGATAGCGCATAGGGGGATTAGAACACCTGTCAGGTTTTTATTGTAGTCTGTGCCCCCATTAGATTAACCCTCTCTATTTGTCCTTTTTACCATTATCATTGAAAGTGAAAGTAAAAGAAAATCCCAAATTTTGGTTGTCCCCAGAAAACTTACAGAGGGGACATCTTCCAATTGGGACACAGATGGCAACATTGTATTTTTTTTTATTGGTGGAAGAAGGGTATTTTTATATAAGTGTGATTTTTTGATACTATTTTCATTCAATATTTGACATTTAGAAAGATACTTTCTATTTACTTAATGTAATGTAGTTGTTTTTGATACACCACATGTGTCTTTTGAAAGCAGCTTCCCTTTGACTGGTGTAGTAACTTTTTTTCGCTGTTTTGCATTAATATATATGCTGCAGGGACTGCGATGACTTAGTGAGTTGGCATATTTCTACAGTTTAAACCATTTTACCTCTTCATTAGCAATAAAAACTGACAGGAGTTCTACTTCTTCTCTCCATGATTTGTGAGATGTGAGGTACAGAATTTCAGAGCCCAGACTGTGTCAATCTCACTGTATATCGCTTGAGATAAAATACCGCATGGTTTCATTAGATAAATACTGCATATTTCGGAAAAATACCGCATGTGGTATTTTAGATGCCTTTTTTAGTGAATGCCAATTTCTACAAAAAAAAAAAACACTGAGTTGTATTTTACTGCATTTCCTAAAGTGGTCAATATTACTTTGTGACTGGAGCCCCTTTGTCACTATCTAGATCTGGAAAAAAAATGTATGTATTTTTTGTAATTTGTTTTTAATTTTCCCTTTTCTCACAAAGTTTGCCAGGGTCATGAGGCTAATGGGGGGACACATTGCTGAGCTTTGGGAATAACTTAAGTTAGAAATAGCTACCATTTTATTGCTGGGTATTGCTGCTGCTTTTAGTATTGTTTTATTGTTTTTTATTACCATTGGTGTTTTATCAATTGAAATTTTTACTATCATATGATTATATAGCGTAGCTAGCTTACTCTACATTTTTATATTTTTCCATTCATTTTTGTATGTACAATAAATTTTGTAATGTGTGGAGGATTTTAGAACCATGAGTGTGAACCCCTACTTGTAACAGATTACAAGATTGCAGAAATCTAACCTTCTATGATTATTCTATCTCTGATTTCAGATGGAGTGTTTGAAACTGATTGCCTCAGCCAGATTTACTGACAAACGCATTGGATACCTTGGTGCAATGATGTTGCTGGATGAAAGGCAAGATGCTCATCTACTAATAACCAATAGCATGAAGAGGTAAGATACTGCACCTTAGCGAATTCCATGATTGGTATGTTAGCCCATGAAACTATGGTCATTTATTTGCAAAAAGATCTGACAATAAATGATGCATTGTACACATGATGTACACATTTACATTTTGAACAGGGTGTATCCTGAAAGTGTTTTCAGTATGATGGGTCAGCATTCTTCAGGAATCATGTACCAAACCTTCCTTGCTATGAATTGTCTCTGTTACCTCACAACCACCAATCTACCACTGTAAACCTATCCCCTAAAGTTATATCCAAAGATTCTTTTTGGTTTTGACACTTTCACACAAGAGCCAATGGCAGGGAAGAACCGACTATACATAATTTCAAACTCAACTAACAGACTTGTGTGATTTTAACACCCTGATGATATCTGCAATGATCATTTGTATACCAAATAATATACATAGATAAAAACTCCGCTACTAACACACTAACTCCACCACTAACAGTTATTTTGTTCTGACCCATTCTTAAAGTGATTCTGAAGGCTGATGGTTTTTTACCTTCATGCATTCTATGCATGAAGGTAAAAAACTATCTGTGTGCAGCTCCCCTAATGCTTACTGATCCCAATCTTGATATTGTGCACAAACGCAGCACCTCTCCTGGATCTCTCTCTCGCCTCACTGACTGAGACACAGCAGTAGGAGCCATTGGCTCCTGCTGCTGTCAATTACAAGTGGGCAGGACTGAGCCACACAGGGGTGGCTTGGGAGTGAGCATGCACAAGTGCAACCAGAGCAAGCAGCTTGCTCTGGGGGCACTCAGTAATGCGAAGGGGCCAGAAGCACACGCTGGGGACCTGAGAAGAGGATGATTGTGGCTGCTCTGTGCAAAACCATTACAAAGAGCAGGTAAATATAATGTGTTCTTTATTTTAATGAAAAAAATAGCCTTTAGGTTAGCCATTTGGGTTAGTGAAGAGGGATTAGAACACCTCACAGTTTTTATTCCTGCCTGTACCCCCATTAGGGAGACTTACCCTATTTGTTCTGTTACCATTATCACCGAAAGTGTAAGTGAAAGTCCCAAATTTTGTGTTAACTCCGCAACAGTAATAGAGGGAAAATTTTCCAATGGGGACATTACTTCTGGTGACCCTGTTGACACCCAAGGATTCTCTCACTTTGGAGGTATTTTCTCTCATTTCCTGTTTTGACAGAAAGTGAAGGGGAATATCTCCTATTGGACACAGATGGCAAAAACCGACAAAGGGTACTAACCCCCTCCTTTACTCTATTTGAAATGAAAAAAAAAATGCCTTTAGTTCTACTTTAAATGTACACTCATTTTGTTAATTGTGTTTTCCACTCCAGGGACCTAGAGCATAGCTCCTCTGTGGTGCAAGGCCTGGCTCTGTGCACACTGGCCTGCATGGGATCAACTGAGATGTGTCGGGATCTAGCTGGAGAAGTGGAGCATCTTCTGAAAACATCAAATTCCCATGTCAAGAAAAAGGTGCTGCAATCAAATTTGGTATATTGTGAAGGGGAAAGAAATACATCAAACATTGGTGTCCTTTTATCATGCAGCGATAAATGACCGCTGCTCAGTTCTCCGGTATTCTCAGAGGAGAGAGTTCTCCTCTGAATGCCTTTTTATGAAGCGGTGTAGATCGCTTCTCCGAATGAAAAGAGAAGCAATCTACAAACGCTTTGAACGCTAGAAAATGGCTGCTGTTACTGTAATCTCGTGAGATTACAGTAAGAGATCAGACAAACACCGTTTACTAAGCAGCGGTAAATTACCGATGCTTCGTTTGCGATTCGTTTGCGGTTCCCCCAATTCTCCAGCTCTGGGCTGGAGAATCTGGAGGGAGAAAACAGACCACCAGTAAAGGGCTGACATCGCTCCTTCATACACTGGCCATCTGTGTGCTGAGATGATCAACAAAGAACATGTTCTCCGCCAGGGGTGGACTGACAACTCATGGGGCCCCCGGGCAATAGGGGATCATGGGGCCCCTGTGTCCTTGCCCAAACTCAAAAAAGCCTATGAAAAAGGTACCAGCGGCATCTCATGGGGCCCCCTACTGACCCCGGGCCCTCGGGCAGTGCCCAAGTTTCCAAATGGTCAGTCCGCCTCTGTTCTCCGCTGATCATCTCTGTTTCCTAAACCACTAATGATCTGAGATCAGCAACGATCCTTAGGACCTCTGTTTCGTAAAAGCACACCACAGTGCCTAAAGAAATTAAAGAGCAGGGGGGTGGGCAATGAAGAGAATCTGCAAAAGTTAAATTCAAAGTATGGTCTTTATGATCCCGTTTCCCTTTCTTCCTCTTTAATGCAAAAAAGATCAATAAACTTTTCACTTTCCTCCTCTAACCAATTCTTTCTTTACTCATGCTCACCTTTTACTTCTATCCCACCTTTGCTCACCACCAGTTCGCATCCACAGGCTGTCCTCTGTGCTGTGCACATTATCCGGAAGGTCCCTGACTTAGTGGAAATGTTTATCCCAGCTGCTGAGGAACTGCTGGCAGAAAAGAGACATGGTGAGTCTGGTCTTAATATGGATGTTGTCGATATCATGACAGTGTATACAATCATAAAGTAGTACAATTGTAGGAACTTAGTGGTTTAGGTATAAGTGTACATATACAATTATTATGAGCTAAAATATTGACCAATTGGTGTGGGTGTATTGCAGGTGTATTGTACGGAGCTGTACTTCTGGTTACAGAGATCTGCCAAAGGCACCTTGAAGCCTGTAAACGCTTTCGCAAGGTAACTTCGGACCATAATGTGAATGTGACACTGTATAATTACTAGAGGTTTTCATTAGGGAAATGCTTCATGTAAATAATCTAGAGGTAAATGTTGTGGTGTCAGTTTGTGGAATGGTAAAAATAACCTGACGTTTGTTCTGTTTATAGTTTGCCTTCCCTGGTTCCTCCTTTGCCCCTCATCAGCATGCTAATGAAATTATTAAACCCTTAAATCTTTCTGTTTTCAGAACATCCCTAACGTTAACCAAATGACATAATTATTAGGTCCCTGTGCTTCTCTATGCAAGTCAGGAAAATCATGGCTGGTAGGAGGCGCCAGAAGGATGCTTAATAGCTTTCTGAAAACAGGAAGCTGTGGTAATGCTGAGCCTCTAAAATTGAAAGAACTCAAATCCAATAAATGAAAGGGACGAGCCAAGGACAGTAAAGCTAGGGAGGAAAGCGCTGGATGATGCTGGACGTTCTCCAGCTAGGAATTAAGGTGGGCTTTATTTGACCTGCTGCAGCTTCTAATGCACACTGTGAGAAGTTTACAGTGTGCATTAGACAAAATAATGAATTTCAGTACAGTAGTGCAGCCTGTACAACTGCCATAGACTTAAGCCGGCTATGGATGGATCAAATCTCAGCCGGCTCAATAGGGATTTAATCCATCTACGGGCAGGCTGGTTGTGCTGAAGTTGATCCATCGACATCGATTTCATGCAATTACTGCTGGCGGCCTTAGTCGCCTAAGCTGGTTGTGCTGAAGTTGATCCATCCACATCGATTGCATGCAGTCACTGCCGGAGGCAGTCAATAGAGATTCAATCCATCTACGGGCAGGCTGGTTGTGTTGAAGTTGATCCATTGACATCGATTTCATGCAATTACTGCTGGCGGCCTTAGTCGCCTAAGCCGGTTGTGCTGAAGTTGATCCATCCACATCGATTGCATGCAGTTACTGCCGGAGGCTTTAGTCGCTAGCAGTAATCATTGTGTTCTGTGGCAGAGAAGGCTTCCCGAGGGATTCTCCTATCAACACTAACTGTGTTGATGGAGGACTCGAGCAATTTTCTTTTCTGCAACCTGTGGTTGCAGAAGAGACAATCGCAACTTTCTGGTTCGTGGGCTCCGGCAGCTTGAATGGGCAAGCCACGATGACGTCACTCCCGCTCATGCACAGGTGCTCCTTTACAAGTAAATATCTCCTAAATGGTGCACGTTTAGGAGATATTTACAGTACCTACAGGTAAGCCTTATATTTTCACTGTAGGTACAAGTGAAAGAACCTACTCTAGTACCACTTTAAGGACAGCTGACAGATCAATGTCACCCTATAACAGTAAATGTATGAACAAAGACCTTCATAGCAGTATCACCATGTATTACTTTAATGAAAGTTACAGATTTAAATATATTAAAGATGACTTTTGAAATTACATTAATATGTTAAAGATTATAAACATTTTAGTGATTTGAGTTATATCTATTTTAAAGTGCATAAATACAGTTGTGCTCAAACGTTTGCATACCCTGGCAGAAATTGTGAAATTTTGGCATTGATATTGAAAATATGACTGATCATGCTAGAAAAACTCTTTAAGGATAGTGATCATATGAAGCAATTTGTTATCACATTGTAATTGTGATTGTTTGGCTCCTTTTTTAATCGTAATGGTAACAGAAAGCACCTAAATGGCCATGCTCAAAAGTTTACATACCCTGGAATGTTTGGCCTTGGTATAGACACACAAAATGACACACACAGGTTAAAATAGAAATGAATGCTTCCCCACATCTGTGGTTTTTTAAATTGCAATTAGTGTCTGTGTATAAATAGTCAATGAGTTTGTTAGCTCCCACATGGATGCACTGAGCAGGCTAGATACTGAGCCATGGGGAGTAGAAAACAATTGTCAAAAGGCCTGCGTAACAAGGTAATGGAACTTTATAAAGATGAAAAAAGATATCCAAAGCATTGAATATGCCATTCAGTACTTTTCAATCACTTGTTAAAAGTGGAAAGTCCAGGGGTCTCTTTTAACCAAGCCAAGGTCAGGTAGATAAAGAAATATTGCAGCCACAACTGCCAAAACAATTGTTTGGCATACAAAGAAAAACATCACAGGTAGACTCAGGAAAAATACACAAAGACGGCTGGTAATGGTTTTAAGTAGCACAATACGACTATACTTGAACAAAAATTAGATGCATGGTCGAGTGGCCATAAAGAAGCCTTTACTGTGCCAAAGCCACAAAAAAGTATGGTTACAGCATGCCCGACAACACCTTGACATGCCTCACCAGGCTTTTTTGTGGCATTGAAACAGTAAAGGCTTTTTTTCTGGCACCTCAAACAGGCAGCTCATTTTTGTTCAAGTATCATCGTATTGTGCTCCTTGAAACAACCACACCATCTTTTTCCAAAGCAGCCTGTATTTCTCCTGAGGTTACCTGTGGGTTTTTCTTTGTATCCTGAACAATTCTTCTGATAGTTGTGGCTGCAATCTTTCTTGGTCTACCTGACCTTGGCTTGGTATCAAGAGATCCCTTAACTTTCCATTTCTCAATAAGTGATTGAACAGTACTGACTGCCCAATTTAAGGCTTCAGATACCTTTTTATATTCTTTTCCATCTTTATAAAGTTACATTACCTTGTTACACAGGTCTTTTGACAGTTCTTTTCTGCTCTTCATGGCTCAGCATGTAGTCTGCTCAGAGATAACAAACTCATTGACAATTTATACATAGACATGAATTGGAGTTCAAAAAGCCACAGATGTGGGAAATAAACCTTTAATAGCCATTTTAATCTGTGTATCACCTTGTGTGTCTGTACCAAGGCCAAACATTCCAGGGTATGTAAACTTTTGATCATGGCCATTTGGGTGATTTCTGTCATCATTATGGTTTAAAAAGGAGCCAAACAACTATGTGATAATAAATGACTTCATATGATCACTATCCTTAAATAAAAGAGTTTTTGGAATGATCAGTCAAATTTCCAATATCAATAACTACAATTTCACCAGGGTGTGCAAACTTTTGAGCACAAATGTATATACTTTAAAGTTATCTTGTCTCTGTGTTATACCGCTGTATGTTTTTGAATGAGCTAAAGACATTCACAGACCAAGCCTGTCTAGAAATACTGCATTTGTCAGGAAGGCTGGCGTGCTTCAGCATTTGTAGTACTTGTTCAAGTTCAGACAACTCTGTCGACAGCCATAAAAATAACAGCAGTTTGTACAAATTCTGACGTAATACTGTAAAAAGAGATTTGTGGAGGGATTAGATCACTGCTTAGCTGATCTTTACAAAGTTTAGTCTGGTAGATTAGTTAGTTTCATAGTCCAGGGCTAGTTATATTTTCAACTATAGATTTTAGATGACAACTATCCATTATATGTCAATTATCCATTTCTTGCAGTGTAGATGTTAGGGTTATAAAATCCTTTTTTTTGATAAAGAACAACAGAAAAAAAACAAATGGGACTTTACTGGTACAGAAAACGGACAACCTCATATTGTTGTATAAAAACATATTTATTTAAACATATCTTCCAAAAATTTACCATAAAAACAGTATTTTGGCTAGTCAGCCCAATAGTACAGTCAGGTCCATAAATATTGGGACATCGACACAATTCTAACATTATTGGCTCTATACACCACCACAATGGATTTGAAATGAAACAAACAAGATGCGCTTTAACTGCAGACTGTCAGCTTTAATTTGAGGGTATTTACATCCAAATCAGGTGAACAGTGTAGGAATTACAACAGTTTGCATATGTGCCTCCCACTTGTTAAGGAACCAAAAGTAATGGGACAATTGGCTTTTCAGCTTTTCCATGGCCAGGTGTGTGTTATTCCCTCATTATCCCAATTACAATGAGCAGATAAAAGGTCCAGAGTTCATTTCAAGTGTGCTATTTGCATTTGGAATCTGTTGCTGTCAACTCTCAAGATGAGATCCAAAGAGCTGTCACTATCAGTGAAGCAAGCCATCATTAGGCTGAAAAAACAAAACAAACCCATCAGAGAGATAGCAAAAACATTAGGCATGGCCAAAACAACTGTTTGGAACATTCTTAAAAAGAAGGAACGCACCGGTGAGCTCAGCAACACCAAAAGACCCGGAAGACCACGGAAAACAACTGTGGTGGATGACTGAAGAATTATTTCCCTGGTGAGGAAAACACCCTTAACAACAGTTGGCCAGATCAGGAACACTCTCCAGGAGGTAGGTGTATGTGTGTCAAAGTCAACAATCAAGAGAAGACTTCACCAGAGTGAATACAGAGGGTTCACCACAAGATGTAAACCATTGGTGAGCCTCAAAAACAGGAAGGCCAGATTAGAGTTTGCCAAACGACATCTAAAAAAGCCTTCACAGTTCTGGAACATCCTATGGACAGATAAGACCAAGATCAACTTGTACCAGAGTGATGGGAAGAGAAGAGTATGGAGAAGGAAAGGAACTGCTCATGATCCTAAGCATACCACCTCATCAGTGAAGCATGGTGGTGGTAGTGTCATGGCGTGGGCATGTATGGCTGCCAATGGAACTGGTTCTCTTGTATTTATTGATGATGTGACTGCTGGCAAAAGCAGCAGGATGAATTCTGAAGTGTTTCGGGCAATATTATCTGCTCATATTCAGCCAAATGCTTCAGAACTCATTGGACGCCGCTTCACAGTGCAGATGGACGATGACCCAAAGC